GTAGGGAAAACTAAGTAAGTTTATTAAAATTCGTATGAATATTCCAAGAGAATATACGTGTATAGGCACTTGATATTGGGTGTTTTCCATATTTGTTCTTGAATTTTTAGAATTTTGGCAACTTACCATTTAAATTTCTAATTTTGACAATGTGCCTCTAACTTATTAGACTCTGTTCATTTCACTGATTCAAGTTTCGAATTCAATTTTTGCTACAGTAAAAAACTTTCAGAAATAATCACATCTAACTTTTTTACTATAATAAAAAACTCTCACATAAAGTCACATCTCAACTCGAATCAGCGAACTAAACGGGTCATAAAGTATTACAATATACACCATTTTATTGATGGTTATGTTAAATTGGTGATAAAAAAGCACATTCTATTAAAAAAAACATTTCAATTCGCCACTCTTAATCTCTCGAATTTAATTTTTAAAAAATCAAAGTAAAAATTAGTAAAATAAGACGTGTTCCAACAATTTAACAAGTTGAATGGGTAAGTTTAATAAAAATTTAGAAAGCAAGTTATCAAAATCCAAGAAATTTAGGGTGACCAATATTTGCGTGTATTAAAATGGGTTTATTTCCATTTTCACGAAAGGATTGATTCACATTAGAGGAATTTCAATCAAAAAGCTTTCGTCTTGTTTTCACCTTATTTTTAAAAATATTTTTGCACGTCTTTTAAAACAGACAAATAAAAACGGTCTGCGGTTTGCATAGCAAATCTTTGTGTTGGCCTTTTGAGGCATAATATATATATATATATATATATATATATATTCAAAAGCTTTCTATAACAAACATGTGGTAGAAGGTAGAGTCAGCATGGGCCTATTTGATAAAGATTTCTAAAAATTGAGAACAAATTTTAAGTTTTTAAAAAATTGGTTACAAAGTAAAAATTATTAAAATATTCAATTTAGTAAAAATCCCCTCAAATTTCATAAATATATATTTTTTAATCTCCGTAGTAAACAAGATTTTTTTAAAACTCTACAAATTATAATCTAATCAACATTAACATCTGAGTTTAGAAATAATTAAAGCATAACAATTATACTGTTACAAAACATTTCTAGGTACCCATAAAATTATCTCCAAAATGTGGAGTTATTAGTCATTAATTTGACCTTACCCATCTTGTAATTTTCTTTTTAATCATAATAATTTCTGTAATGACGAAAAGTAGATAGAACTTTCACATCGACAGTGAACAGTAAACTATCATAGATTTTGTGTGTTTTTTATTTTTTTATTCTATTATTCTCGACAGGATATAATAGAACTAAGGTATCGAATTTTAATAATATCGCTTAAGTTTCCTTTGAATTTTATCTATATCTTTATTATCTTATCAACTAAAAAAAATACAACCTCTGGTTAAAAAAAAATATTTTTGTTGGTTAAATTTTTTAAAATATCAAGAATGTGGGCAAAGTTAACAAGACGAGAGGGAAAAATATCGGTATTTTATTAATCATCAAAGTCTAAAAAATACAAATATCATCTCTGTTTATATATTCTAAAACCTAATAATAAGATAAATATAACTAAATATTCAAATAACTTAAATAAATCCTAAATAATGCTATATAGATAAACACAACCATAAATTTAAACACTGGTTATCCCATTTTTAATGACTTGATAGCTACTCTTCAAAACTGATTATCAAGTAATTTTGGAATTGGATGTTCTTTTTCCCAATGAATAAGGAAATTAAAAAAAAAAATGGTAACCAATTAACAATATCAAACCAACCAAGAAAAGAGGGGGAAAAAAAGAAGAAGAGAAAAATATCAATACTAATCTTCCTTTTCCGCTCATATATGCCCATTTGATTAATAGATTTGAACATAATCATTTGAATAAAAATTTAAACTTTTTGAGATAAATACTGTAACACAAAATTTAAATAATAATTCGAACCTATGAAATAGATTGAGAAATTATTCTTCAAATAAACATATCATCTAAGAGTTCATCAGTTGTAAATAGACTCATCTTATAATCTGCAATCACACGCCATTTTGTACATTTATCACCTATCATTGTGATCTTTTCAATGTTCCCAGAAACCTCATGAATCTTCTCTGGTAAAACATGACAAGACTCAAAACATATATGTTCACTTCGCAGATTTGAGTTTTTCAATTCGAGTTGAGATGTGATATTCTTTGAAAGCTTTTCACTATAACAGAAAAAGTTAGATGTGACATTTTTTGAGAACTTTTACCTATAAAAATCTAAAACTAAAAACTCAAATCGATGAAATGAACGAGGCCCAAAATGTGTATTTTGCGATCAACTTTGCATTTTTCAAGTCTAACTAGAAATAACTATTATTACCATAAAACCTAATATTATCTTGTGTAAATTCATGCAATTCAAGCATTCTTCAATACCTCTGAAAAACAACCTTCTTCTCATCCATATCCATCTTCCAACAATAGCCTTTTGATTCTATTGTAATTTTTTTTTTAAAAAAAAGAAAATTAGTGTCATTTGCTATATTAAGAATTGTCTTAATTAAATCCGGCACCCGTACTGTATTCGTGTAACATTTTAGCGTGTACTTTGTTTTAATATAACATTCATTAATAAATATAATCCAATACATATAACACCGAATATTACCTGTATAAACTAACAATGTTAAATGTATATATGAAAAAAAGTTATATTTGTTGAACTATTCAGCCGCCGAACAGACTTTGCCTACTCATACGCTTTTTATATATTTTGTGAACATTTACAACTCTTACATATATAACATTGGCTTAAATCAATAAAGATATAAATTTGATATGATTCTTTCTCCTTTTGAGATTAAGGATATAGTAGTGAGAGCATCCAAAATGCATGTGCTATATATAAGCTAAAACTATTTACAGCTATAAAATAATAAATAATATTTAGATAAATCATAACATTAAGGATATATTTGGTAGGAGAGAAAGGGGCGAAGAAAGAGGGTGAATCTCTTATTTAGTAAGAAGAAGAAAATAAGAGATAGAAGAGATGGAGGAAGCCATTTTGGATCCTTTCATTGATAGAAGGATCTAACCAATCTACTAAAAATTAAAGTAAATGACTTTTTTACCCTTCAAAAGTAAATATTAACAAATAGTAAAACAGACAATATAATACAAGAGAATCGAAAGAGAAATGCTTAGAGAAGAAAATATTTGTTAGGAATAGTGTCCTTAAAACATAAGGCATAATAATGATATTTATTATTTAATTAATAAAATTGTTTATTCATTATTTATGTGCATGTATTATTGAATACTTTATAAATATCATTGAAAATTTCACGATTATTTATGTGACCATAATTATTGTATATAAGTGTTATATACGAGAGGATAATATTTAAGGATAATAATCGAAATAATGTTCGTAATGAATTAATTAAAGTTACGGA